TAATATTGAATGCACAAGAAATTAGACAAGATGCAGATAATAATATGTCGTATGAAATAAAGATAGGATAACCTAGTGAGGCTTACAAAAAATTTGCAATTTAGAAGTAAGAAGATTTACACTGATAAAAAACAAAGTGTCACGAGACAGATTACGTTATAGCACACCAAAAAGATTGGTTCAGAATCAGATCTGAGACAACATTCCACCAGACCTGGGGTCATCATTAATCGTAATCATCGATTTTTTAATTGATTACAAGATTACACTGTAATCATCATGTAATTGATTACCTTGCTCAAAATTGATAACATTAATTGTAATTAATCAATTACAGCTTAAATTTAGTCTGTAATTATGATTACAATTTAATTGATATTGATTACTTTCAGATTTTTCATGAAACTATTGAAATCCAAATGATTTATTTCACATGTTACAGTTAAACTAATACTCCTTTATAATGATCGTTAATCACAAATTGTAGAGTGTTAATAGATTGATTTTGATACACAATAGCCACATTTTTATTGAAAAGAAAGAATGTTCTCAATTGATATCCCTATTTGAAGTAAATAATAGACATTGTCATAACAAAGAATGATTGTCCATAAAAGTAGTAAAATATCAAGTTAGATGTTTTTAGACACCACTCACAATGAAGAAATAAGTTTTAATCCATACAGTTAACCAAATTCTAACTGAAAGATAGACAACATCTTTTGGCTGGTCATCTAACCAAAGTGTCAAAACATTGGATTTTTGATGTCTTTGAATTTCCAAAAGAGATCTTTGGAAATGTCACAGCACAGTGCAAATTGTGCCCTGAAGTCATTTTAAATGGCAACTGACCAAGTACAGAGAGACAAAAGTGTGTCAGCTAGTTTATCAGTGCCAACTATATACATTGAATGTAATCAATTATCAATCAATTACTTTCTTAAAGTAATTGTAATTTAATTGATTACAGAGGCAAGTCTGAGTAATCAACTGTAATCAATTACAATAAAATCTGAAATTAATCTGTAATTGTAATTAAATCAATTACTCATCAATGTAATCATCCCCAGGTTTGCATTCCACACCTTGACATGTTCAAATTCTACTGAAAAGTCGGTTTTGTACGTTTATACTCATACAAAAAAACAAGTTAGTATTTTTATAAAGAACCAACAAAGTTGGGCTTATTACAAAATTATAAAGTTAGTCTTTTACTTAAAGAGCACAAGATTGTCATTTTTTATTTTTAAAAAAGTTTTTTGTAATCTTTACAAATGTTTCAGACGGCTAAAACATGGGTCACTGCTTTTTGGTGTTATCTTTACATTGGTTGCTACAAATGCTTCAACACTTATGCTAGGTTTCAATTTACCTTCTGTAAAATGCATAATTTGTGGTATGAAAAACTGGACATTTAAGTTTTCTCTTGAAAAGATAAAAATATATGTTTATCATGACTGATTGATTTCATAGTTTTGTCGTTCTTTGTTGCGTCTTGTTTTTAATAAGTCGGGTGTAATGTGTCCTCTGGCAGCCCTTTTTATGCAAAGATATCAAAGAAATTATTATCAACTAAAGTTTTTTTTTCTTTCAGATCGCGTATACAGCAAAAGTAGTAAGTAAAAATATATTTGTTATTGCGCGATTTTCATCCGAACAATACTAGTTGATATGAAAACCTTATAGGATTGATATCAGTAAGAATTAACAGCAATATGCCACCAGATTAATGCTAATAGTCATGAAAACTTATTTAAAATAAAATATTGTAAAGTGAACAAAGAAAGTAATTTCTAGATTGCAAATCCAAGTAAATTACCAAAATAGATGTGATTTTTTGCAAATAAAGCCCTTACTGCGTAAGGCAAGTAAGAGAAATATGGTGATAAATACTGCAAAATCAGTCATTAATCGCACAAAACATGTAAATTATTACTTAAATCTCGAATATTCTTACTTTCTTAAAATCTTAGAACATTTTATCTATAGTTTGATTGTCTTGAAACATTAAGCTCAGCCAGAGGTTCGCAGATTAACGGACAGTTTTAGAAATATGTATGTGCTTGTTATCATACATTTAAAGCTTCCTTATACATAAAGAATAATATGTGAATTAAATAATATCGTGCGCAGGCATTCAATTAAAAACTTCAAATGGAATGAAGTTACAACCATTGATAGATTTAAAAATTGGGATGTTTCGAAAATTGACATCTGTATACACTATTTATCAAGTAGAACTTGCTGTGTTCTTATTTTACGTACCGTAAATATGCGAAAAAGTCTCTGTTATTCCTTTATAAGCATTATACACATGATACATAATCACGGTAGGTGATATCATATGCCTTATTTTACATACTTTTATGTAAAATGTTAAACGTTAGGTTGGGGTAACTTTTTGTCTAACTAAACCAGATTGCGAAGATACAGAGAAAATCTATCAGAATGACATTGGAACTAGGAGATTTATTAACGTCGAGTACTCGGATGCGGTACATGGGTGGCTTAATGTTTTAATCAATGGAAAACAGTTTTTACCCCAATCAAAAGAACATAAAGATGAAGCCTTTAACGAATGCCTGGTATTTCAAGAGGGATTCTTTCTTCGAGGTATACATACATAATTATGTTTTTTTAAACGTTCTTACAGTGCAAAATATTGTAACAGCAGGATTAAGACAGGAAAAATCTCTGACGAGACGTATACATCAAGAAGGGGAAGCAGACAGCCTTAAACATTTTTTAAAGAATAACAAAGTCATTTTGAAAGTAAAAACAATCAAATTATATGATTTTTATTTACTTGAAGTACAAACATAAGTTATGATAAATCACAATTTTTGTTCTGAAATGTTAACTGTATGTAACATCTTAATACCATGTTGAGATAATTCACACTTTCACACTTAAAGTTGTTAAGTCATCCAGGTAACAGTCATTTGGTATGATTAAAAGCCGATTGTCTTGGTCTGAAAAATATAGTTTGATATTAATAACAGATGTAATGACATACAGAATGGATCATGTGTTTGTAAGTTTTTTTAACTCTGTAGCATATGATTTGGACAAACGAACGAACGTTTCCTAACACGAAAATGTATGATATTATAGAGACTTTTCCAAATGTACCCAGTGAATCACCAGTGAGACTGCCGATTACAAAACTAATGACGGCACATGTACTGAAATGTACTTTATGTATGCCAGAAGATGCAATGGACATCTTCAATTTGATATATCATTTTTAGCAGACTTCGGTTGCTCCTTTTGTTTGTGCTTTGGTAGAGTATGATATTTTCATTATAAATCCAATAATTAAAGAAATGAGTCTTTGAGAACTTTTGTTAATCAGCATCATCTGTCTGATTTTACCTTAAAGTGGTATTATTTTGAAACCCAAAAGGAATTTAAACTCTGTGTATTATTTGTTTTTGTATGTTGTTTTTTTTTTTCGAATTATTCAGAATTTATTTCTGTTTGGTTGAACAGCCTAATTGGAGGCTTATTGAAATAAATGTCTTTAAAATCCAATATAACACAGGTCTTTTAAAATCATTTTGCATGTACTTAACATAATACTATGTATTTTAGTGAAACTACATTGAACTTCCTTCAATATAAACATTGAAATTAAAGGCTGTAACTTTATTTATATTACTCGTTCAAGTGCACCATAGCAATGTTAAAGTCAAACCTGAAATTGGTCATGAAATTCTAAATACTGAAGTCAACGGTAAATTTCGTAAGGCGTACAGACCCGTTCTTCAATACAAGTGTGAATTTGAGATAATCGATGGAGAAACGTATATAACAAAATGGTAAATAAAGTTACACTTTTATTAACTATTGGATATTATGATATTGACTGTGTTTACTGTTACACCTGTTTCGGAATAAATAATATATCCTCGTATCGATATTACATGATTGAAAAGAATATTACCCTTACATTAATCATACAATATCTATTATACAAAATATCTCTGGAATTAAATTGTATGTCTTTCCAGAAAATCGCATACATATTTTGGAATTGTTATCATATATCTATAAATATATACAAACAGAGGCACTTATAACCCGACATTTATTTCGGTATAAATTGATTATTTATGAACGGTTTGTGTTCAACTTTGGACCATACACAATTTAACATATCTTACTTACTACTTAAAATTTTATTTACAATTCAATGACAAGAAAAGAAATTAACAGAACAAATATGCTACTGCAAAATGAAAAATCAAAGAATGGCTGTAAATATCGTAACTCTGAATCCCACTTAACCTATATGTTAACCTGGTTACCTCCCATGGCTATAATAACAAACGTGTGAAAACCTGTCTCATAAAAATGACGTATTTTCTCATGAAAGCTTGGGGAATATTTCTCCATTCTTGAATAAGGGCTTGCTTGAGTTCAAGCAAGTCCTGCTTACCAAGTCACTAGATCTTAACATTACACTTGTGGGCTGAATTGAACAGGCGTGTGAGAAAGCGATCAGAAGCCCCTCGCAATAAGGTGGAACTCGAGCAAACTCTTGTTCAGGAATGGAGATATATGAGACAGAGGTATAAACGTTGTTATAGCCAATTGGGAGGACATACAAAGTATTAGAACAGGGTAACATACAGATTATGTGGGATTCAGAGACTTTTAATTTTGTTACGATATTTACAGCGATTCTGTGATTTTTCATTTTGTATATTCATATTTGTTTTGCTATTTTCTTATTCATGAATTGTAAATATAATTTTTAGTAGCACGTATGATATGTTGTATTTTGTATAGTCCAAATGTGGTCAAAATCCGTCCAAACATAACTTATTTATACAAACAAATGTAAGTGTCGGGTTAAAAGTGCCTCTGAGTGTATTAAGTGGCCACAATTGGACATGAACTTATGTAAATAATTTTGATGAAAGAGAAATAAACAGTTTGTAAGTATAGCATAGTCTTACTTTCTAAGGTATATTAACGGTACCTTTCAAGTTCAGATGGGACCTTCTTCAAATCAAGGCGAACTTCTATTTAAAGAAGATTCTTTATCAGCCCTTGGACCTGGTTATGAGGTAACATGAACATTACTTAATTTATGAACAGATTAGCCTTATAAGTTTTATACACATTATTAAATCCCTTATATTTTCATAATTTATGTAAAGCTGTTAATCATATAATACTTTCAATTACATTTATACATTTTTGAGTTGCAAATTCATATACGTTTAAAACGTTACTTGTAAATGGCATCATCAATCAGTTGGATATTTATTTCAATGCTTTATACGTCCAATGTTTCGGCATTTTATAGCGGTTTTAGTTTAATCCAGACACTGATTTGAAGGTAAAATGATAATTATGCAGTTACGCGTCCTTTCTGAAATAATCGGCCACCTTAGTGATTCGAAATCAGTGACCTTCAAATGTTCAATTTTACTATTTGTTAAACAAGAACTGTTAGTTAAAATGACTCTGAGTGGTTGTACTGACCATCCTACCATTCATAGATTTTATATTTCTTTTGGCCCGCAGGTACAAAGTGGTGTGATCACGGTGGATGGAAATGAGTCCTCTGAAGTATTTAGTGATACCTTCTACGCAGGATTTAAAGTAAGTCAAATATCTTAGGCTTAAAAGACTTAAAACTGTCTCATTGTGTTAGATATAACATTAAAGTTTCAACAACAACAACATCAACAACAACAATACAAATGTACGCATGTTAATAATTCCTGACATACACATTAAAATATACATCACTGTACATTGTTTGTGGTATAACGTGATACTTATTAAAAATACTATTTGTTTTTGAAGATTAAGAGCGAGTCTATCACGCTGAGTAAGAGCGATTCTGCTACTGCTGACATAGAGCAGACAATTCCTAAAGGCTGCTATTACACTGACGACGAAGAACCAAATTGTGAAGAAAGAATTACTTTTGAAGACGGCTCATCTGTACCTTATATGTGTACTGGAAAACTTCGAGTACAAAACACTGCTGATGTTGGAAATTCTTTTGTAAAAATAAAGGTAACATATAAATGTATATATTACACATTATATATTTTGGAAAACCGCGATCTATGACAAAGTGCGGATTCCGATTTCGTTGTACTTAATATGACTTTGATGTTCTTAATCGTTTACCATTCAAATATTAGTTATTATAATAGTTTAAAACTAGCATTAAGGTTTAAAAATGTCGTTAACACATAATAAATATGCATGTTTTTAAAGATTAAGAAAAGCCTCTAATGGAACAACGGTTTCATGTTCTTGTTTAAAATGATTTTTTTTTAATTTTTGCAAATTCGTGTTTCTTAAACAAACTGCTAATGTGAGAAAGCTATCCAGCTAGCTTACGGACCGTCAGTGGTTTTGTTCAAGTTTAGTCTTTCTTTCTTATTTGTGTTTTATCATACATCTGTATTGTTTAATGGGCCGAAATAATGATATATTTGCATTGAATATCATGCTTATTATTATAGTTACATTAAATAAATATGTAAAAGTATTTTGCCTTCGGCCTAAAAACCAAGCATTCTACAGTTTCATTAACCTTTTTAAAAATATTGTTGTTAATCTCATCAAATATTGTTCATAAATAAGGATTATAAACGGAAAACCCCACGGTAACACGAAAACGAATTTTGACATGCAAATGAAGACTATAATCAGCTTGTCACAGTGTTATAGTTGCTATCCGGAACACAGAAAATATGAGATTTTCTTGTGCAAACACACTTTTACCGTTTAAGCTTTACGGTGCACTTGGTCTGGGCTTCTGAAAAAAAGTTAGCATCTCATAAAAAAGATTATTTGTATGAAATAATCCGTTACAATGCGGAAATATACTGTCAAATTAGGAAACTTATAGTCATGTTTGTTGATTAAAATATTAATGTACGGATGATCTGAAGGCGGAGTTTCTCATGTACTTCTGATTTCGCCACAATGAGGTTGCATATTTGCTTATAAAACTCATTTTGGTTGTTTTGAACATCAAAATATCATCTGGAGTCGATATGAAACCCAATTTGTTAATGAAATGTCGTTATTTCTTTTAACGAAATTTATTCAATGTAGCTTTAAATAATCAGTGCAAACGAGGTATGTAAACGTTTAATCATTTTTATGATAAACTAAAACAAGAATTTCAGTAGATTATTTTGTTAAAATATTTTTCAAAATACTTTACAATTTTGTAAATTAAAATTGTCATATATTGTCTATAAAACATTTGAGACATTATTGAATATTTTATAGATCAGATTTTAACCATCTTAGCTATTTACAAGCATTTGATTAAATAGTAGTTGCAAATACGTAGGTGTTATATGACATCGTTTCAGACTAAATGTCGTTATAATAATGCACGTGGTCACATGCCTTTATTATGGCCAAACAACCAGCCAAACAAAAGCCAAACAATATGCCTAAAAAGACAGACATTCATATCAAGTTTACGTTAAAAAATGTTATCAGACACTTGCTATTATAGGGTTTGGTCGATTACCCACAATGTAAGAATAATTTACAGTATTATACAATAATACAAGGACAACTATCCATCAGGAGTAAATATTGAATGAGTCGCCGGTCCAATCTTATTTTGTTTTCCAGCTAGGTACCAGTCCAATTTAACCAAAATTAACTGGATTGTCATTCTACTTATTTGTTAGATAATTATTTAGTTCAAACCAATATCATTTTAGTTCGATTGTGTAGGAAGCTGTGAGCTTATAGACGTACTCTCAAACCAACCAGTAATGAGCAATGAGTGTAAACTTTCTTGTTAAAAAAATCTAAGGCCTGCCCCTAAGAGGTTTGAACTCACATAGCTATAGATCCATAGATTTCAACGAGTTAACCATTTGCCCATGTCGCCACAAAGATGATTCTATTATAGGTTCGTTTTCTCTCAAGGTGTTTGCAACTGTTCAAGTGACTGCAGTGAAAGAGCTTTGAGAGTGCAGTAAATCGCCAACAAAACTCCGTAGAAACGTAATAAGATCCTATTGTCTCTCCGTAGCAACATCATTGTCGCTTTGGGAACATCGTGATAACCCGTCATTATAAAAATATCAGATATATTTTAAGACTCAAGGCGCTGTGCATTTTGTGGCAAGAACATGGTGGAAGGTTGATGGTGTAATTGAGGCACCCGATTGTGTTTGCAATAATGCACGAAGATATATCTGAGGTCTCCAACCACTCTTTGAGCTGGAAAGTCGCAATATGGTCATTTAAGGATTTAGTTGTGTCAAAGAACACAACAAACCAAACAATTTTATTTATAAATGTATACCTTTACATCGATCTGCCCACGCTAAATGTATCATTGGTTCTAAACGACATGATAATCTCGACATGATTTAAACTAAAACTAAAACTTGTTTGAAGTTACCGCCAATAACAATAAGGACACTGACGCCCAAATGCTTTTTGTAGACATTACATATGTAATTATAAAAATGACTTTACACTTACAGATGAGCCGTATATTCGAAACATATTTTAATCAATAATTAAATAATAACTGGCACATGAGGTCAGTTTTTTATATTTGTAAATTTTATATCCGTCCCCGGGTATTTGTATACCTATTTTTATATATGTTTGAGCGTTTAAACAATACTTTTTTACTTCTTTTTTGGAACCGTTTGAATTGTGTTTTGGTTCTTCTCTCAGGGACTGCTTTTTCCCGCGGATAAAAATTTGTATTATCGTGAAAACACGCCTGCGCAAACGTGTACTTACGCTAACATCTTATAAAATATGACACATAAATTTTCTGATAACATTGTTGTACAGAGTTTAAAGAAAGATGAACAATGGACAAGTACCATACATAGACATAGGATAATGTTGACAACTGCTGATAGCACATATGACGATGCAGCAGACTTCGACCTACAAGTATACGTAACAGACACTACCGGTCACGACAAACGAAGATCAGTCAGAGCAGAGGTGTGGTTTTTTTCCCGTCATTGAGTTTATTTCATGATTGAAAATAGATTGTACTGTCTTAAATTAAACCTTAACACCGTTTTAATGTTTGATAATGATAAGTCTTTATTTCACAAATGTGTTAAACTTTTTGTTGATGGCTTTTTTGCCTAACAACTAGTGAATATATCATAGACTGAGGTGATTACAATATTTTATTTTAATTACTTTGTTTCAGACAATAGGAACAATTCATGTGAGTGTTTTATTTTTATTTTAAAAGCATCAGTGATTAACATAAAGACGGCAATAGAATGCTAAAGCAGAACAAGAAAACTGTAGAAATTTCATATTAATCTTTCAACATTTCTTTAAAAGGAGGTCCTTATGGTCTTAATATATATTATGCGATGAAAGACACAAGACCATGGGTAAATATTTAACAGTTATCTTGAGAATGAAACAGTTTGATGTAAATTTCAGGTAAGTGTAACAGACAATTACAGACATTGGAACATGAGATGTTACTCACACGTCGATCCACATATGAAAACTGTTGACGGATTGTAAGATAACATTCTTGAATATTAATAATGTTCTACAAAATATTTGATATATAAACTTAATTTACCGGGGAGTTCAAGTCCGTGGAACTCGATATTTTTCTATTTAATTCAAGATATTGCTTTTACATTTTGTGCAGTTTAAATCTGTGCTAGTAATATGACAACGGCAATTTAGTCAACACGTAGATCTTGCTCTTCCGTTTTGTTTGAAATCTTCAACTATTTGCAAAAACGGAAAGCCAGAATACTTAGTGAAGAGCAAATTCATCACCAACGAGGCAATAAACGTCAAGGATATCATTTGCCGCGTGGCTGAGGTTTATGGTGAGTGTAGCCCAAAATATTTACAGTGGCAAAGAGCTCAGTAGAAAATAAACGTTAACGATATACCATAGAATATAAGCTTGGCCGTCCTCCTGATTTCATCAGCTAAGAGATCGTCCAATCACTGTCTCGACCTTGCATTAAAATTTGTTATTTGTAACAGATGTGTTTTTACATTAATCCATAAACATTTTGTTTGGCATATCAAATGTATCTGCCAGGTCGATACGCAGATACCTGAACATGCAAGAGCGCACTGGCTTACTCCCTCTAAGACATGTCTAAGACACTGTTAAACTCCAACGGGATTAAATTAATAGATTACACGTCTGCTGGTACTTCAATGACTAGTGAATACCATGCCAATATCGTTAAAAATTACGGCTTGCTTTTAATTCCATTTCATTTTTTAATGTTGATACTGTTTTTCATATGTTTGCTATGAATGAAAAGGAAAGGGTGTAACTAGCACATGATATCTGTCTGACAATGCATCAGTGCACTCTACAAGTGGCTGTTAGTGAGTGCAAGTTTGAGCAATTAAGTCACACGACATTCATTCCAGACCTTGCCCAAAGAGATTATTATCTCTTTTGAAATTAAACCACCTTTATCTCAAAGGCATAGAAAGAGAGGTTAACCAAATCTATTGAAGTAACTGGATTTTTATTGGAAAGTAATGTTTAAACTTTCTTCCAATTTGTAAGTTAAACCCAGGGTTCTACGTTCTTGCTGAACTCCCCTCCTATAGTCATTTAAGCAATGTGCCATTAGAAAAGTTTGTTTAAGAACATTAGTCTATTTAGAAAAATGGTGAATGGAATGTCTGTCATACCACAACTTATAATGTAGATTAGTATAAATATTTGTTGTAAATTATAATCATATGTGACAATTAACCGCAACAGAACTATATATGGATGTTGCTGGTAAGTGTGAAATTCTTGATCCGTTTTAACCATATCTATATATTTGTTATAGCAAACGATAAATGTTATTTTTCGTCATATAAATATTTATACTAAATCACTTTGCTCTATCAACATGTTTTTTTTCTATGAATATAACTGATAAAAATTCAAAATGATACACTTTCTTTTGTTTGTCTGTTTTCTTTATCAACATTTCAAAAAAATATTGATAACGTGCCAATTGTATTATTGAATACTTATCCTCTTTTGAAGGCTAGCATATTTTAGAATGCTTTTAATGAACTTGAAAATTTCGTCACAATCGTGTTATAATATATGTGTTTTAATTTTCACAAAAGAGCTCCTTGTGCCTGAAATGTTGCCTTTAATGGCTTGGGATTAAGATATGCAGTTACAGCTCTCCCTGCATGATCGTAAGAGTCGACTAAATGGGTTATATGCATCACTTAGCGTCAGCGGGCGAGGTGTTTTTGACAGAGTTGCTTTGAAGTTTGTTATACCCGAGGTTAGCCAAAATCATCTTCCTTGTTTCGGCACCAAATGACCTATACCGTGCTGATGCGCCGTAAAACAAAACAAACAAACAAAAAACAAGCAAGGATTTACTTCTCTATTTTTCAGGAATTATGAAGCCCACAAGGAAGGAAATTATACATTATACAGGAACATGAAATATCAAACAGAGGTTATAACATTCCAGATACTAACTTAATGTACATCAATGTTATTTGGCATATGTCTTGTGTTGAAAACTTTAACAGTGGAGTTTAGAACGTAATCTCTAAAACAATGAGTCCTATTTTTTCATTTCATTCCGTATACTGATGCAACACGTGTTTAACATGAAGACATGTAGCTGTATGTTTGCTTCTTTTGAAACTTTTTTCCATTAATTTTAAGAGAACACATTAACAAAGTGTATTGAAAAGACAGTACAAAAACAATTGCTATAGTGCACATCTTATTAAAAAGGGAAACAACGTCTGCAAGTATGGTATATGAAGTTAATAGACTTTGATCAACATTATACTTGATATGTTTCAGGTTCAACAATCAGCTCAGTATTGTTCCCCTGGATCAAACAGCGGACCTGTATGTGCATGTGGAATTGCAATCGCTGTTGGAGCTGACACTTTCATCTTTAATAAATGTTATAACACCATATTCAAATTCGACTTAAAGTGTAATGAAGGTGGCCTTATTGATATCGACCAAGTGCACCCCTATCGTTATAGGGTCTGTATTTTTATACTATAATATGCGATTAGTAAAATAGCATCCATTTTTAAACAGCGAAAGACCATTGGTGCTCACGCTCACAAAGACATAGACTACTTATCTGCAATTTAGTTGAAATAACTACCTTCTGTTAAGTATCACTTAAAGAATTACGTAATAAAAACAAGTTTTACGGTCAAATATCAAATATGTCAGGTTTATCCGGATCTAAAGATTCCCAAAAGCATATCCATATAATAAACTAATTGTCTGAGTTGGAAGACATAGTTATATATTACATTCTTAATGTGATATTCATTTAGGTTAGAACGCCAATTGGTACCATTATCGAAATAACTTTTATTGGATGGAGTAGCACAATGAACATCGACATATACATGTCTGCTAAAGATTTCGGCAATGTTGATGGCTTATGTGGAACATTTGATGGAAACAGAAGTAATGACCTTCTTCACAGAGACAACAAAACCATTTCAAATGACAATAATCGGAGTTATCGCTTCGCAGATAGTTGGAGGTAAAGGTTATTAATTCAAACTGCCCTAGCTCCATTTGCTCCATTGTTTCAGATTAAAATAGTTTCAAGTAGTTTAAAATAGTTAAAATAGTTTTCAGGGTTGGTTACACGTTATCTCATCATAAGATCGACCTAAGGCCATTTTTAGCCTCTCTTAAGTCCAAAATTGTGTTGGCGATGGGGGATTGAAGTACCTTTTCTATAGTTTTAACAACATTTCTCAAACAAAAACAAACAGTGGTGTGATCTAAATAGGGCATTTTTTACTATCTGAGGCCTCAAAAGGGTGTGAAAAGCCGTCAAAAAACGTCTATATGACGTAAAAGGTCAACCAAGAAAGGTGAAAACCCTTGGAATTTCCAAAATCGAGTTTTTCGATGTTAGCACGTGGTCTTACACATAATTTTGGGGAATATTTGTTGTTTTTTATGGCATTTTCTTACTATTTTATTAACAGATTATTCGAAATCATGATTTTCACTTGATCCCTTTTTTCTTACCTATTCCGTTAATGAACATGCCCTATCAAACATAGACTGCAGCGTTTTCAATTTTTGCGTTGAATGGTGTTTTAAAGAATTCTGCTTTTCTCTATTTTGAACAATAGGCTATAAAACTATTAAACCTTTCCATGGTGGTTGAATTCATCTGAATTTTGAAACATGACTGTTTTAACGCCATCAACAACGTGTTATATTATTTGTTTACTTCAACTTTCTACATTTTAGTTAGTACCTTAAATTTTAAAGTTGCCACGTACTTCACTGTAGTGTTGTTTTTATTTGTCTGTTTCTTCATAATCATTGATGCAAGCGCTATTAATTGTTGTGAATTGAATACCGTTCAACCTGGTGCTAGGGGGCGTGAGGGATGTTGCACTTATTCATTATCCCTCATGTACGGACTCAATCAAACCGAGTCTGCAATTTTCATGTAAAAGCTCCCTCACACATACAACTCAAAGTCATTGGCGGGATTTCAACCCACACCGGTGAGGGGCAAATAGTTCCAAGTCAACTATAGATGTTTTATATAATCTTTGAATAGCTTTAAAATGCATTTCTCCAATTGGTGAAAATGTATTATTTGTAAAACGAATAACAGGTTAATATCAGAGCATCTTCACATGTGTTCCATACATTTTCAGAATATACATTTTCTTTTAAATCTGCCAAATGACGCGAGGTTAAAATTTAAAGTCAAATCAGGTTTGATTTTATTACTCTGAAGATACCGCGTCAATAAAAGTGAAAGCAGTCTATTTACTTCGGTGCTTTAAGGTAAACTTAGGAATATGACGAATGTAGGACCCCTGTATGTTCTTTTTAAAGAAAGGAAACAAGCTAAAAATATAATTCTATTTCCACAATGGATAAGACTAATCAAAGTTTTTATGGCTAATTAGATGTTATATATAGATATGTCTGACAGGTTAAAAATATTAGTATCAACAGTTGATAGTTGCTATAACCCTAGCTGCTATGCGATTTTAATATTGCAAACAGGTATTTACACTCGGAAATATAACAACTTTTTAATAAATTTATAAAACAGCAGAATTACAACTATAACTATATTTGTAGAAAAAAAATACTGACAGCAGCTGTGTATAAAATCTTCAAAAAATCAAATAAAATAAAAATCCAAATTTGCAGCTCTGCTTATACATGAAATAACTGTATATATAGAATTACATAACCTGTTTCTAATAATATAAACGTAACGCATATGCTATTAATTGTGACGTTACAAAAGTGCAATATTATATTAAAAATATGTATTTAAGATGGCGAATATGATGTAATATATACTTAAAAATGTTATTGACTTCTACTAAACTGATATAATCGCGTAATCAAACCGAGCCTGTGCAACATGTTCAATATTCCCGTTTTAGGCGTTCTTAGGAATTCCGTTTTTCTCTTCTTTCTTATCTGCAAGCCGTAAGTATAAGAACATGATCTATTTAATGCATCAGATTGTCGGATGAAGAAAACTTGTTTAAAAATGATGCACGCTTAATGACACCATGGAACACTCAAATGAACGGGATAGCAGACCAGCCTTGTAGCAGACCTAACTCTATAACAAAGAGAAAATGTAAGATTAATCGTAGAAATAGGCGAGCATCTCAAATTCCTGTACAGCACAAACATAGGAGCCGGACATCTGTATCCCGAGAAAAAGTTAGTACTAAAGTAAATTACTAAGCTAAATAAGATTATAAAGTTGATTAATTGTCGTTTGCTTTATAAGTTCACAATACATTGTATTTTATTATCTGCTTATTAAACTGCTTTCATCGTATGTGCATATCAATTATTTTTATAATCTTTCTCTTGTAAACATTAACCAGAGGAACACAGACAGTTTCACAGAGGAAGAAGCATTTGCACTGTGTAACAGCTCCATTTATAATACTCCAGCAGTTATGGAGTTTCCAGACTATCTTGCCGAAGAAGATCCGGACATAATTGTTGAACAATGTGTTTATGATTTGACTGTGAGTTGCTTACAGCAGTATTTGTTTCAATTTAATAAAGGGTTATACAGAAGTCATATTTTATTACATTGCAGTCATACTAAACCAGCATTATTGAAAAAAAATTAAATGTCTTCTTTCAAGGTAATTCAACTGAACAATTAACTATGATACATACAAAACCGTTTTAGTACATTACGAACAATGCAAAACAAGATATGTATTAATACATTTCAGCATGGGAACGACACGGGCTGGGTAGATGCACATGTCACTAATGTAAACAATGTCGCAGATACTGTTCTAAACCTCAATCCTGTATTTGTTGCAAATAATACAGACAAGGTTAACACCTTTCGTTTGCAAATTTGTTTGAACAATTGTAGTGGAAATGGTGAATGCCTTGAGACAGGTAAAATGAATTTTTCGCAAAAGATTTCAAATTAGTTACATGAAAAGCTAAATATCAATTGATTACTTACACTATTATATTTCATAAAAGTTTAGTTAATTATATAGAGCATGAACAATTTCAGACAGTTTTTATTCATTGCATGTTTAACAACATTGTGTACACCGGTCTTACTGACCTGTGTGAATGCACTCTAAGCATGATGGGAACGCACTACTTTTAAGATGGCGGCTTGAACGCGGAAGTGATTCAACAAAACAATTGTAAAATGTAATTGTACAACGAAAAACTATTCAATTTAAACGCCCTTGTGGTATTTACTACAAATATAATGTTTATATTATTTAATTGTTCGTTTATTGCTATTCGTGCATTAATACCCTAAGTATTCATGATTTGTGACTTTTAGAGCAACAATAAAATAAAAACACGATGGCTTCATCATCAGCTAAATGTACTCCAGTAAAGGTTGTAAGACATTGTTTGATG